GATAGAGCAAGGATATTAAGGGAAATTGGAAGAGAAAGTGCCATACGCAGTCATTCCCGTCTGAAGAAAAAGTTGAACCAATTCAAAACCAACGGGTACGTCGACATGAACGCCAAGTTATAGTCAAATTGGTCGAAGAGTCGGTCACCGACATTCACAACGCCGTTGAAGAAGACTAAGTAGTTCAACCCATAGAAGAAGAAACAGATACATGTGAAGATATTCTCCCCCAATGTCATACGAGGGTTCCCAAAGTTGACCATCAGCCCTTTGGTATTGCAGATCTTTTTTATCAAGTTGCAAAGAAGAGTGGAGAATTGCGATGAATACTGGAGGGTCACGAAAGTGGCTGTGTAGCACCTTCGGTAGTTTCTTTACGTTCCAATACTTTTTTTTCCATTTCCCTTCATAGAAGATTGAATATCATTTTCGTTTAAAAAAAGGGTTTTTCTCGTTTTGTGCCATTTTTTTTATTTTTGATGTTTTTTGCTTTGTGGATTGGTTGTGGATTAGTATAATTATTATTATTCTAGTTTTTATTATTTATACATTCCTTGAATCAAAAATGGAAACAAAGCGCAAATTTTGTCATTTAGTTTTTTGTTTTATACCAAAAACAAAAAAAAACGAGTGTTTTGAATTTGTAAAACAAAGTAAATTGGTTTTGCATGTGTATTATTATTTGTTTTTTAAATAAACTAAAAAAATGGTTTTCTTAAATTAAAAATCGTATTTTTAATTAATTTTTTTATTAATTGTTTGATAAATATAAAACTAAAATCCTTTTTGGAATTGTGTTATTTTTTTACACTTTGTTATATTATGTCAAAATTATAATTTAATAATTATATTAGTTTTATTAGTAAGAATCATACAAAGATATTAAAACAAAAAATTGGAATTGAACTTCGGTTTCATTTTTTGTTTTTTGTCAAAAAATATCACTATTTTTTATTAATTAAGGATTAAATAATCAAAAAATTAATAAAACAACTTATTAGTGTATATTATATTAATATAAAAATAGGTT